AAGAGCACACCAAGACGTCACCATGACCGATGTTCTTGGATGTTAGGGTGACAATTCGCTCTTGATGTGGCAGTAGTTTGAAATCTTCTGGAATGAACAGGCGAGGTGGCTTGTAGATGCTTTTGTCAAATATAGAGTCTGCATCAGTAAGGTGCAGAACACGTTCTCCACAACATATTGTGGCAGAAAAAGAAGACAGAAAGTCCCATCCTAGAATTACTTGGTAAGAGCACCAGGTGAGCACAGTAAGCTGGATGTAGTGAAAAATGTTGTCAATAAGAACACGGGCAGTACAAAGAGCGGAAGAGCAAATGTTGCTACCCTGTACTGAGACTAGAGTGAGTCCATTATAAGGCGTCATGACTTTCTTGCGGCATTTACACACATAGCTAATTACAGAAACTGTTACACCAGTGACCACTTAAGCATCAACGAGAACTGCTCATTCCACTTACTATGGAAACTATATTGAACAGGCATGCTGGCGCAATATCAGCCCTACTCTTAGATGGAGTTTCTCCTCCAAAAGCTGCATCACTTAGTTTCCCGATCGGCTGCCATGGATAAAAAAGGCAGGGCAAAGTGGAAAGGATCGAGGAGTGATGATAGGGTGAAGGTGATCAGCGTCGGGATGAACGGTAAGTGTTCCGCCCCTAGGTTGATGTGCGCGGAGGCTGCTGCTGTGGAGATGAATAGCGCTGCACATAAGAATCATTATTGGAAAAATTCTGTTCGCGCATGTAACCACTACGCTCGCCCTGTTGGCTCCTGCGGATAAAGCGCGATATATGGCTGTGGTATCCACACAGTAAAAGCATGTTGGATGAGACGGGTGCCAAGTCGGGTAGTAGAGGGCTGGGCGCACCGAGAGATAGCGCATTAAGGTGGGCAGATAAAGGGTCGGGCAACACTAATCTGATGTGGACCAAGCAGTCGACGTGAAAGATGGGAGCGGCAACGTAGAGTTTACGTTGCAATGAGGCACAGCCACAACGTGCGCGTATGTTGGCAGGCTAAACACAGGTGGCGGTACGTGCGCTGATCCGGTGAAGAACGTTAGTTCTTTCTTGGTGATTTCACGTAAAGCCATGTCTGAAGTCTGTGTGACAGAAGAAGGAGGGCACGCGAAGTCTATTGACTGGAGTTTTTTTGCGTATAAGCTTTCTGATCAAGTCCCGCAGGTCCCGTCTGCTGGTCGGTGTTCACTTGTTCTCGATTGCCTTGATTCCTGAGCACCTTGATGAACTGGACTCAAGGCGCTGACATGTGGTGATGACCTCAGCGACAGTAGAAGGATTCTGAACAGCCAGGGAGTTGAAGGCAGCAGTCCTTATGCCCTTCAGAATGTGGCACAGAGTGCCCGACTCGGACATTTATGAATTGACACCCTGTCACGGGGCAAGCACATTCTCAATGTACGAAGTGTATGAACCACCGAAATGTTGTGTTGGAGCATTAATAGACGTCTTTGCAAGAGGGCATCGTGCAGCTGGTGTGCTCAAGACTTGGCAAAGCTGCTGCTTGAAGCCAGGCCAGTCAATCGAGTGAATCTCATCTTGACGAATCATGTCTTCACAACACCCGTGAGATAAAGGGAGACGCAATGGAGCTTGTTAGGGTCACCCCACTGATTAGATGGGCTTACTCACTCGTAGTTAACAAGTCAGTCCTCCACATTTTCTCCACGGAGACCGGCAAAGATTGGAGGGTAACGTTAGTGGTTGGCAATATAAAGAAAAGAGGATTGCTGCACAGGGATGAGAGCAGCATAGGTGTCAGTCCCCTCGTACTGAGACATGTTGGCAGACTGAGGGTCCAAATGGCAGCCCGAACAAAGCTCTAGCGAGTAGACAAGACATGGACCTGCGTTTGTAAATCCACCTCCATTATGTATGACAACTCAGTTTATTTTTGGTAGCGAACAAGCACCTTGGATGTGAAGAAGCACCCAAAAAACTATGATAATTATGAGCTCAAACAGACGGTAATGATTGACTACTTCTCAAATGAGAATGAAGTGGATAATATATGCCGGCAATATTATGACTAATACACCAATAGACCAAACCACAATAGGCTAATAGAGTACCAATAGACCAATACACTAATAGATGAATAGAGGTCTAATAGACCCCCAATGCCACCTATACACACATATCATATCAATGGACCAACATGTTCAATAATCCGATAGGCTATTTGTTTTTCTATAGGTAATTTTTGCTAGTAATACAGTTGTTAGTAGTGCCTGTCTTATGTCCACTCTTCCTTTTGTGCTCATCAGTTATAGCACTTTTTCTTTCAGTGTTTATAACATCTCCACACTTAAAACTTGATTCTTATATTATCTTTGTTTTTTTACACTACCTCTAGAAAAAAATTATGTATCATCTCCCGGAAGGGAACCATGATGGGATGCGAAGCAGCAGTGGTGCACATGCTGTTGACCAGGCTGAAATGGGCATTGACGCGGGTGCTGTAAAAATGGTTTGAAGCAAAACTCAGTTTAGCCTTTACTCGAGTAAATGTTTCTTTCAAACGCAAAGACACAGAAGGAGGGTTGGATTTTGAGTAAATTTTAGGGCAGATAAACGAGCCGAATGAGTGTTTATACTCTATGTGCAGTCAAGCGTTGCGGACGGTGGAGAGGGCGAAGCGAGAGAGAAGTATGTTGCGAGCGGGCAGAAGAGCAACACCACCTAGGTGACTTGGGAGAAGCCGGCAGCTGCTGTGGGTGAGGGAGAGAGTGACCTAAATGCACAGCTGCAACGCAACTTGACCTACTTGGCATCGTTCCAACCATTGCTGCAGGGGGGAATGTGGTGCGGCGCGTTGGCACATAGACACAGACGAACAGGGTTACACAGGCTAGTCAAAGAGCTGCTTCGCATCTAAAACTATATAACGGAGAAATTTTGTGAAATCTTTCTTCTAGACATGACCCTTTTTAAAGTTTCTGTATGCAATTTAGAGCACGCTAGACAGCATCAAGATGAGCAAACCTTTCACAGCGAAAGCTGTTATGAGATCACAACTCAGGTGACACGCAGTTGTCCGCCACCGTCGGTGTCCATAATCACATTGTGCGAAATCAGAAAAAAATACACTCAAACCTCAGTATAACGTAAAGGAATATAACGAAATGATGAATATAACGAAGTGAATGAAATTCTACTTGAAAGCTCCATTGAGAACCATGCATTTTAAACCTCGTTGTAACGAACTAAAATTGACCGGTAAATGAATATAACCAACTAAATTAGTCTATCAAATAGTCTATCAAAAAAAAAAAGACCGTAGTGTGTTAAGTATATTGTTTTTTGCGGTGTTTGAAGCTTGTTCGGGGCGGCTCTTTCAAACCTACCGCGCCGCGCCGACCTTACAGCCACGCCACGTGCAGCCGAGAGCCGTTCTCCTCACACAGCCAGCAGAAAGGATTGAGGAAGCCCTCAGCGAGTCACATGACCCAGAAGGGGCACCGCGGTGCAAAGCGATTTTCTTCTCCGCGCCTTAAAGACGACGGCAACGACTGCGTCTCTGCTGCTACCCTCTGCACCCGGAAAGGAGGACTCCCCGCGACAGCTTTTTTTTTTCCTTTCTCCATGCGTGCGGCCTTGAAAGGAAAAAGGTCTCTACATGCAAAGATAGGAAACAGGGAAGCGTGGCACACGCGCGTCGCAGATCCACATTTGAGAAAGAGCGAACAATCCGCCACAGTCTTTCCTTTTCTTTTTTGTGCACAGCCTTAAGAATTGCCACCGCAGGATTGGGCATAGTGCTGAGAGCATTTTCTAAGCGTGGGATCTTCAAATTAATCGTCACAAGTGCTTACACGATCAAATTACAAGGAGTTTTCACCCATTGAAATACACATAGCTTGACGGGACTTCAGCGTACGTTAAAATTCACTGGAAGTTCGAATTATTGAGGTTCAACTGTGTTTATTTTCCGTCGCATGCATGGTCATGTAGCGTTACATCAGGCCGCAAGGCAGTTTCCTTCTTTGTATGCTTTTACGTGTGCAGCCATCTGAGCATACATTGCCACAAACTGTTATAATCGATATAACTAAATAATGAATATAACTAAATAATTGTAGCTCCCCTTCAACTTCGTTATAACGAAGTTGAAGGGGACCTAGCCGTGTACCTAGCACCAAAGACAGAGTGGAGTTCGAAACCTGGGTCTGCTGGGTGACAGCCCAGTACTCTAGCGCTGAGCTACGCTGGTGCTTGTGACTTGTTTGCAAACTTGCCTTAGGCAGGCTTGATGTCAGGAAATCAATCGCTTTAAAAGGACTTTTAAAGTATTTTAAAACAGTGAAAGAACAACCAGCTGTCGGACAATGCGAATAGCATAACAAGGGGGCCATCCAATGCTCCAACCCATTACAAAACCTTGTCCTTGTTTCCATATTACCTGTGGTGCATATCCACTTGAGCCATAGTTCCTCATCATCGTGAGCCACTGCATGAACAACTGGAACAAAATTCCTTGCAAGTGTTTAGCGAATACCACGCTTTTCAGAATAATGACGAAAAATAGGATAGGGAATGCTGGCCTACTACAGAAAACAATTCGCATTAATGCCCTAGTGGGTATCAAGCAAGTGTGCTTGCAGTAGTTACCAAATTAGTGTTTTGAAAAGGTTCTGAAAGACCGCTCTTCTAGCTTTCGCTGTGACTGTGCTGCGCCTTCCAAACAGGCCTGGTGTTTTTGTATTTGCTTTGTGTATGCCTTTTCTTAACTTTTTATTTTTTTGCTTTTGTGGGTAGCATAAAGAAACCATAGATGCAATACCTGGTGACTTGCCTGAAAACCCGCATAAAATGTTTTTAGCACATTTATCGTTTCGTAACAAAGTGAAATAAGCACAAATGACGACACCTGTCTTTAATAGCCTCATCGTCTATGATGTGCCCAATTCCTCTTTGTTGATAAAGTTGGCCGGACAGGCTAGGGAGAGCTTACCCCGAGTGCACAAATGATGCAGCACTTACCTTGACATCTAGGCCTGGTACCAGAAAGACAGTGAAGTCTGTCATGACCTGGCTGGGAGCGGCTGAAGCTGTGGGAGGGAAGCGCATACGAGAGGATGATGGATGGCTGCGAGGACCACTGCGACGTCTGGTTGGAGAGCCGCCATCTGGAAGGCCTCCAGAGAAGCTGCGCTCTTTGCGCATGGTGCGTGTCCTGGTGGGTGAGTGGCACACTTAGTCTCTCTGTCGCAATGCTACCTATCTTCGACTCGAGCGATATTTTCCCAACAACCCATGCATGACTGAGAGGAGTCAGCGCTCTGCAGTGCCTTCATCTTGTTTATAATGAACACTGCCTATGTCATTAATTACTTCGTAAAAAGGAACCAATTGTAAATGATCATTTCTATGACGTCTCTTGAAAAATGTACCACTAGGAAAAATTGTGTCTGTTTCTTCTAGTGTTACCTTTAATGGCTCGCTTTTGACTCTACCCTATGCTTGTAAAACGTATAGAGGCAGAGACAAAGGCAGGTGCTGACGAACACGAAAGTGCTTTTCTAAATAAGAATCATTTCTTAGTAAACTTTGGCAACTTTGAGCGTGTCTGTCTGTCTAGCAACCTATGACTTTTTGCTCACTTGGCTGTTTTGTTAATAGGAGGTATATTGAAATGGGTATGACATAACATGCCTGTATGACAAACCTAAATGCCAGGTCATAACATAAAAATCATGACATGCATGTCATGTGCAGTGTGATTTACATGACGTAGTCTCGGAGTACTCACCGCCTTTAATTAAGGAAATATACACCAATATTAGTATGACGAAACATTTTCGTATGAGAAACATAAATGACAAATGCTAACATAAAACTATGATATTCGTGGCATGCATGTCATGTACTGCATGATCTTTATACAGTTAAACATGGTTATATCGAGCCCACATATATAGAATTTTCAGGTACATCACACTCGCAAGTTATCCCCTTGAATTTCCTTTGTAAAAGTGTAGAAATTCGCTCGTTTATATCAAGCGGTATTTTTACCCCCCCTTCGGATCTATCGAACATTGCGCAAGCTGGTAGGTGCGCTTTGGCACTCACTCCCCCCCCCCCCCCCCCGGTCTCCGCAAGAGCGCGGCTCTGCGTGCGAGTTGGAAGGCTGGGCTTTGGCCCTTGCAGCGCCAAGCGGCCTCCACGTGGCACTATGCCTCCGCCAAAACCCAATACCCTCGAAAAAAGGGTAAGGGCGAGAGGGCTCGGAATTCACAATTTTTAACTTGCAAAATGACTTTTTTTCCGTTTCTCTTTCTCTCACGCATATTTTCTCCATGTACCTGTCGGCTTGGAGAGCAGGAACGAAGTAGCTGACGTCCTCCTTCTTTCACTTTTTCTTTTGTATTTTGTTCCTGTTTTGCTAGTTTTGATCATCCAACCACAGCTCGCGCTTTTTTTTTTTGTAAGCGCGGCGCTGTGCTTCCTACCAGACTGCAGAAGTTACATGCCTTCTTCCTCTTCTAACCACTACAACCACCACCACCTTTTTGCTGTTGCCCTCGCAGGTGGCCATCGCCTCACGAGCGCATTGTTGCTTCTGCTGTCACGTCGCCTTCGTACCACCGCATGTGCAGCATTTTTCTTTTGCGTGCGTGGTGTGCAAAGCCGCTGCGAACTAACTCTTTGAGTTGTCAAGCTCTCATGTAGCTATAGCGCGGCGGGCTGCTGAGACCAGTGGAGCCTAAACTAGGGGCCCCACTCACCTGCTTTTAACCGTTATTTAATTTTTTTCCTCTGTTAAAAACGTTTTTCCATCCATGGCAAGCGTCAAGAAGCGCAAAAACCTTGACTTTGCGATGAAGTTGAAGCCTATTCAGCGTGTTGAGACAGGAGAGAAATGTTCGAGCATCGCAGACGATCTCGGGATACCACGGAGCACTCTGAGAACCTTGTTGAAAAACAAGGCAGATATCAAGGTAAAGGTGGCGGAGCAGCAAACGTCCGGAGCCTGTCATGTGTGAACTTCTGCCCACGGGAATGTTGGAAAGACAATGTATGCCTGGATTTTGGAAGTGCGCGCGAAGAACATTCGGGTGGATAGCCCGATGCTGATCGCCAAGGTCAAATAATTTGCTGCTGCACTAGGTGAAATAACTCTGCCAACAATAGCAGGTGGCTTCACCGATTTAAGCAGAGCTGCAACATCATTAGCAAAACTTATTCTGGTGAAAGCAAAGCTGTCAGCAGCCAGGACATACAGCAGTAGATGACAAAGCAGTGGCTAGAAATCTCCGCAAAGTTTTCTCCCGCAGGGAATTTCAATGCCTGGCGAGACATGAAGACGGACACAGTGGTCAACCGCTCCTGCAAGGCAGGCTTCGAGACGGCGGAACTTATGAAAACTAGTGAAGACGACGACGAGTGCACAGATGACGTGTTTCCCAAGTTGTTGTCCTGCTTCTTGGCAGCAATTCCACACAAAGTGTCTGTGGACGACTTCGTGGAAGCGGACTGCAATGTCCAGGCCGACAACTACTGTGACGAGGAGGATCGTCGGATGAGGCACCGGCTACACGCGTGTACTCTGCCACTGAAAATGGCAGTGCTCGGCATCATTCGCTGTTGTATCGGCCGCATGGAGGAAACCGGGCTGTCGCACTTGAACAGCCTTGATAAGAGCGAGATTAGCCCCTTCCACATTTCAAAAATAAAGAATCAGGTAGAAATTAGCACTTATTTTCATGCAAATAAATCATTCTGTTTTAGATTGTGTGTGGAATTAGTTGTCATTTTTGAATGCACCTCTTGTGGTCTTGCACCTCTTGTGGTCTTGCACCTCTTATGGTCTTGTTGTCATTCTTGAATGCACAAGTAGGCTCTAGGGGCCTCTATTTTTTTATAATGAATTTTTCATATATCGAACTAATACGTGATCCCATTTGTGTATGATTTATCCGTGTTTGACTGTATACCATGATAATGGTGCACTTGTGTCTGTTTCATTAGCTTGACAAGTTATTAACATGAAAATCATGACATGCATGTCATTTACATCTGTACTCGTACAATAGCGACAACAGCTGCGGTCTTACCCCTTCTGGCAGGCTCTGTTGTTGCCTCATGCGTCTTTTCCAGCGGACCACAAGCCTAGCCACACCGCTCGATTGTGTTGTGCCCAAAGCAAGGTGAAAGATGATGTTGCTTCGTCTCAAGTGGATATTGTTCTCACGGAGATGATGCAGGACATCGCCCCCAAACAAAGAAGCGCTTGCTACAGAATCCAAAAGTACTACGAACTTTTTTCGAGCTATCGTTACCTCGATTAGCCTAGACACCCCCTGCCTGGAAGACTGAGGGCGCAAGTGATTCGAACACATAGCTGGAATTACTTATCACTGGGCAGTTACCAATGTGGTTTCCCGGCGCTCCTTCAGGTCTGAGAACTTGCATCCCTTGAAGTGCATCGCAAAAGTGGGGTACGCTTGCTGTGTAACACGCAAGTTTTTTTCTGTGTTGGTGGCGAGAGGGTTAGCGAGGCGATACAGTTCGTCCATTGCCTATACATTGTGGGGGTGCTGACAACCCTTGTAAAGTTGTTTGCGCTGTGTGGCGCACGTGTCTCGACCCTAAGCCGCATTTCGGGTGCCGACCGCCGGGCGATAGCTGGCGTTGTGACCCCACAACATAGACCAGCAAGGATTTCTCCTGATGCTGGATATGCTCCAACTCCTTCCACAAGTGCCACTCATATTTAGCCAGAAAAAATTCGCCGTGGAACTCTTCTACTGTGATGGTGTGATGTCGTATTAGTCGGAACCATCGAGCTGCTTACTCTGTGAGCGACACTGGGACCACACGCGTGAGAAGTTCGACGTCAGAAAGCCCTGTTGCCTGCTGACAGTAGAGCAAGAAATCGAGATACTGGTTGGTGCTCTTCAGTCATGGTAGCCAGTGTGGGTAGCCATGTCTACCTTGACACGTGGTCACACATTTTTCAGAGGGGCCTGCGCTGTGTTTTGCAGGGCACTGGCCAGGCTTTGTATAACTGACAGCACAATCTGCAAGAGTATATCGCTCGAGGGCAAACTATTGCCTAAAGACTTGCCTACAGTTACGACGTGTGTCGGAGCAACTTGTGGCAGTGTGTCTCTGTTCGCGTCGCGAGGTGATGTGTCGTCAGGCACAGCACTCTCTGTCGAAGACCTATCTCTACTAACGCGGCATCGTGGTCGTACCGCGTAAAACGACCTAGATGTACATTGTCAAAAAGTTTGAAGAGTGCTCCCGCATTAGCTTAAGGACCCACACTTTGCGACACGACATCAGACAACATGAACAAATCTTAGAATTCCGACATGCTTGTTGTCTTATGTTGCTGGAGCATGGGTAGTCGCTCGCATCTACAGAACTAGCCGCGTTGCCAAATTTGTTACATTGCGCACCAGGCGAAGAGGTCTGCCCTATGCACGGCTGGTGCAGAAGCCTATATAATGTTCCAGCTGCACACAGTCGTACCGTAAACGATTAATGTCTTCTCCTTGTAGCTCGAGGAGCTATAGCTATGTGACACATTGCACACAAACCGCCACAACCAGCATGACTCAGCTGCATGTTGCTACGAATGTCAAATAAGGGACAGCACCACCGCAATTTCCCCCCTCCCAGTGGGCGGGGGGGTGGGTGAAAAAGCGATGGCAGAGTCTGTTAAGGACACATGTTGCAGCGTGCAGCCAATCACGCTGGCTGCGACCGCAGTAAGGAACGATTACGCCTTTCTTCGTCAATCACCTTAGCTCACAGGGAAATGTGGGGGTTGTCCTCCCTCTATGGTGGCCGGTGCAAAAGAGCGTCTCGCGTTTGGCACGCTCGTTTTGACCAACCTCCCAGTTCCCCTTTCTCCAATGAGGGTTGCTTCGCTTTCCAAGGGAGGATAACCCGTTTCGCGAACCAGGAAAGGGGAAAAGCACACGCCGGCCGTGGGGTGAACGGCCCTTTAAGGGGGAAAACTGGTCTTAGACATTTTTTTGTTTATTTCTTCAGTGATCTTGATCAAACTGCACAGCATTATGGAGTTTTTTCTGTTGATTTTAAATATTCATTTAGTTTTCCTGTAACTCATCTTGTTCCTGAGATAACTTCAGTTCATTCCCTATTGTTTAAGGCTGCCACAGAAAAAAAGTGCTTAATTAAAAGTGATATTTAAATATGCCA